AAAAAAATTCAACGGGCTACAAAATTCTAGCATAATCATTAGTCATATTTGAATTCGCTTTGGTAGAGAATTGTTACAGAAACGAGCTACTGGAATGTCCAGACTCTTAATGGTGATGATGGCTCTGCCCGGTTGGTTGATGTCCTCGGGAAGACAAAGGCTGGCATCACCGCTACTATCGCTCTCACGGAAAGGACCGCGAATCGATGTTGGATTTGTGTGTCGCCATGTATTCACTGTTATTATTGTTGCTGTTGCCTAGATCGGCTTGTCCATCCAACGTTGTCGTCAAGTGCAGCTAACGGGAGACCCATGAAGAGCGCAATTTCCACAGGGTCTGTCCATAGGGGCAAGGGCGTTAGCTGGGAGGAGTTTTGGGGGGCATGTGCAGTGGTGCCGTGAGTCATGTGGTGACTCTCCGCATGCCGGGCACACGTTGGTCATATCTGCGTACACTCTGATGAGGTACGAGTTTAGAAAGCTATAGTAGCCAGAGCGAAGTTGGTCTTTTGTGGTGCGAATCTCACGAGGAAGACAAAGCTCTGTCCCGTCCACTTCGGGTGGTTGTGTACCCAAAATTGCATTCACAGGTCGGGATTTGATGCAGGTTGAGACGGACTGCCTTTTAATGCCGTTTATGGCCTTATTGCCAATTGAGGTTGATGCGCCGAGAAGGAAAGCAGACTGCCGAAGGTTGATTTTCTGGTTACTCACCGTCGCAATTGGTTGGCCATCGACATGATTACCCAGCTGTAGTCTGACCTCTTTCGTCCAGGTACTCAATGTCTTTCACCGCTGTGGACATTTTTTATGATGTTAATTCTTCACGAAGTAAGCTTTTAAGCTTGCAGGGTGGAGGGTATGGGCATTAGAGGATAAAAATACGCGTAAATTAAATATCTGTTGCTTCAATACTAGAACACAAAACACGCTTTTATTTGCTTATCTTTAAACAAACAATTTACCAATCAATTAAATGTACCTGGTAGGTAAAAAATAGTTAGTTGTTCACATTTACAGCGAAGAGGTAATAAATATTAAGCGTTGAATTAAGCCATTAATTTCCAATGAATTAACACACATAATAGGCAATGAAATTGCTTTATATAATTGTCTTTACGTTACTTAAGCCATTAAGAATGCCGCTAATTTTGTTGTTAATAAACTTAATAACAGCATTGTGACCACGAAACTGATTTCAATAGGTTTCCGCATGGATGCACCACCAATCAAATTATCCACAAAAGGTACTGCACTTGGACTTTCCGAGTCAACTTCATTAGAGTAGTCTTGTAGAGTCACATAAAAGACGGTGCGATTATTGAGCGGTTGCAAGCGTGGGAAACTTGTAGGCAATTGGGTGTTGTCAATCGAATACAGACGATGAAAACGTTCCACCTAGACCGGAAAAGTGTGAGAAAATGAGAAAAAGGGATAATAACATTACAACTTTTTTGTTACAAAAAGAAATTATAGACTCCATGAATCCTGACAGTATAATACATATTATGTAAAGATATCTCTTAGACCTTTACGCGTTAGCGACGGCGATTATCGCAGACCATGCAACGATGTATGACCTTTACAAAGAGATAGACGTAGTGCAGCGAATTAAAGTATAGCGGCTCCGCTGTCTTGACCATTTCGTTCGAATGGACACCGATGCTTCAGCTCTGAAAGTATTTAACTCGGAAGCCGCTGGTGGTAGCAGATGAAGGGAGACGCCCCCCACTGCGATGGAATGACCAGGTGGAGAAGGACTTGGCTTCACTTGGCATTTCCAATAGACGTCAGTTGGCACAGAAGAGAAACGACTGGCGTGGCGTGTTGAACTCGGCCAAAATCGCTTAGGCGGTTACATCGGCAAATAAGAAAAAGTATATCTATCTCAGAAAATGGCGCCCTACTTCGGCTTTTCTCGCGGATCTTTCTAATTTCTTCACTATCTGCGAACTGCGAAACCCATCGCTACACTCTTCACCACCTGGACCAAGGAGATTCGAATAGCAAATTCTGGAAGTTACTTTCGATAGCGTCTTATCCTTCTCAACGCATACCTTCGCCACTTTAAACGAATTACGTGCCAGGAACAAAGTTCTCAAGTTGCTAGCCGGCATCACCTCTGCGCACAATGTACCAAGTGAACGGCCGATTGGCGGCAAACTACGCAGCGCCAATGTGGTCGACAGAGATGAGCAACACGCTGTGAAGTAATCAACAAACTTGTCAGAACGCAGCTCTACAACAGCCAGATTTGTGGCAGTGAAAGAGCACAACACCCAACTAGCGAAGCACCGAAGATGGGGTGTCACCATGGGAACCATCGAGAAGTGGGACGGCTCCTGCACGAGTGAAGAACGGATATCGATCGTACGGATCGACCATCCGTTCGACGATACATAGCGGCACTCAGCAATCTCTATAAAGATGCTGCTTCTTAGCACAGGTATGAATAACATCGTTCTAGGTGGCCAACCGACACTCATTATACATTTAGAACGCCGAACTGGCGAGGGAGACCAGAACTTAGGGAGGGAGACCAGAACGAGGGGTTGAACTTATAGGCGTAACAGCTACCTCTCACGGTGGATCGCAGAAGTGGCGAATATCAGCGCAGCATGCGGGAAGGATCCATATAGCACCCAACACCTCTTCATATGCCCCTCCAACCCGACGACTCTGACACCGGCCCATCGGCGCTGCTCGCTACCTCGGTACCCCCCTGAGAGGTAGAGCGCTACTGCAACAACAAACAACAACTTATTTGAGACGATGATGCTTGTCTGTCATTTCAATAATTTTTGTAGAACGCAAAACTTAAACTCCCAATCATCATTCATTCATACTTACCTGTCTAACTGAGATGCGAGTTTGTTCCTCGAAATCAAGCCAAATCACCTCTTGACTGCAAGGTGGTGTGGTTAACGATCCTATGTAGGTATGATATTCCATTCCAATGTTTATGAAACACCAAAGGTCGATTTCATCGTAA